CATCCAGAAAGTTCTTTCAAAAGAAAAGTACTGTAGTGGCTATTAAGCATCACAGCACTATTGGCTTACAAAGCCAACACTTTCTTAACTCACTGTGCTTAGAAGCTTCCAAGGGACCCCTGACCCATAAGAGATGGGGTCTAATGAATGGAGATTTTGTTTGGGAGAGAGTAGGATCATCTGTTTTAGGAATCTGTGCCTTGAACTCACTGGGAAATAAAGTCATGATCATTTAGCTGGCTAATCCTTCATCTGGTTGGTTTATGGCCTTTGTGTTGTTGTTGTTGGTGGTGGTGGTGTTTATCTTGGGTCTATGGGTCTCTCTCCGGAATGTAAGAAATGCATATCAGCTTTGGAATCCTGTTTTGCGATAAAAATGAATTGCTAAGTCATGCTATGACTTCATTTGCCAACCACATTCCTTCTGCCTCTGCCGAATCACCAAATATCTCCATGTTGCTGAAATCAGTTGAGCTACAAGTGAACTTTTAATAAGTATTGATGCATAAGGAAGATGAGGACGTACCTGGAGACGAGATGCTGAGGGAAATTTTGTTGATCCCAACAGATAATCATTTGTTTTAAACTTGCAAGAAAATGGAAGTCAAAGGAGAAGTTGCCAAGAAATATAAAAAATTATGCTGTGGGTTACTTGGTTCCACGGAGCTTGTGGCAGAAGAGAAAAAAGGGGGAATGAAAAATGCAACAAAGGAGATAACACACTATAACAGAGCATATGTTGGTAATATTTCAACATGGAGACTGCTGTTATCTTTTGTCTTCCGGGATGGAAACATGGAAGAAGAGCTGAGGAGCTTTTGGAAGAGACTCTCATCTTTTAGTGACAGGTACGGTTTCCAGACCAAAGAATTCAGTGGAACCTCATCTAAAATTCCCTTGGGTGTCAGAAGCATCTCAAGTGAGCAGAAATTTTGAGGATTACGTTTTCTCCTGTAAAGGCAGTCTGTTTGCTTAAATTTTTACTGTGTGCTTGGCTTGGCGTGTACAATAGAGGAGACACTTCAAATCAGAATTAAGAAGAACCATTAGACTACAGAATAATGATGGTGGTATCGATTATGACGATGACAGCAAATTCTTCAGAGTGCTTGGTTGTAAGCGCTTTGTGTATACTAACTCATCAAATCCTCACAACGACCCTATAAATTAGAAATTACTATTATTATTCCCATTTATAGATGGAACTGAAGCGCAGAGAGATTAGGGAACTCACCCAAGGTCACGGGAGTAATAAACAGCGGAAATGGAATTGAACTCAAGGCATCTGTCTCAGGACCTATGATTTTAACTGCTGGCCAAACTGCTTCTCTAATAAATAAATATTGTCTGTTATCGTATGATGTTATGGTAAAACTTTGGTTTGTGAGCATAATTCGTTCCAGAAACATGCTTGTAATCCAAAGCACTTGTATATCAAAGTGAATTTCAAGAACCGTTGGCTCCGTTGTGATCACGTACTACTCGCTTTGCAAGACATCCCTTGTTTATCAAGTTAAAATTTATTAGAAAAGTTGGCTTGTCTTGGGGAACACTCACAGAACAAGTTCCTCACAATCCAAGGTATTATGGTATTGTATATTACTTTATTGTCTATTAGCCCTCGTTGTGTGAATGAAAGGTAGTAATCTGTAAGTTCAAGTGTCCTGTACCAGTTGACAGATCCCTGCACAAGTTAAGAAGAACGAATGCTATTATTTGCACACAGTCTCATCTCGATTTTGTATCTTGAAATGTACAGTGGTATCTCAAATAATAAACTCTAAAGAAGCAGATCTCAACAATGTTCTTCATGTTAGATAGAATGTGCCAAAAATGTTTATATTCCTAGTCGCCTGGAAGGAATGGTTTGGGGCAATCGGAAGGCAAGTTCAGACACTGGTGTCATCCACTCGGCATCTTATTCCCTCCACTACCTTATTCCCACGTCTCCCTCTTCATTTTCCAGGCCTTTCCACATACTCATGACTATAAAATTTGCTCTCGCCCAGCAGTTTAGAAACTTTCATAAGACTGGTATCACACAGCGTTGGGGCTTTCTCTGAAGGTATGTTTCCCTCCCATCAGTCATTTTTAAGTAGAGCTTAATTTAAAATTCTATGACTTTGATCAAACCTAAGGGAATTCCTCGACCAGAAAAGATTGAGGGAGTGCCCATGAGGCACGGTTTTTATGGGTTTAGTTGGCCTATTCCTGTACTTACTCCCACCAAAGTAGAAGACTTTAAAATGTAGGTTTTATATTTAGTCCAATCATATGATCTCAGGCATTTTGCTTACCAAGTTTATCTGAGCATCTGCCTGAACTTTTCTAATCATTTCTTTCAGCTAATATTTTAGACATTAGGAGGTTTGAAAAACCATAAAACAATGCCACTCTTTTCACAAATATCTTTTGCTTTGGTAAATACAGTTATCTTTCAGAAATATGCATTATTTATGTTAATACGTGACAGGTTTATTGTCATTTTAAGTTAATAAATAAATTTAAAGCTTATTCTTAAAAATTTTAAAGTTTATTTATTTTGAGAGAGACAGAGAGAGAGCATGCACACAGCAGGGGAGGAGCAGGGAGAGAGGGGCGAGAGAGTCACAAGCAGGCCCTGCACTGTCAGCACAGAGTCTGACATGGGGCTCAATCCCATGAACAGTGGGATCATGACCTGAAAGAAATCAAGAGTCAGATGCTTAACTGAACGAGCCACCCATGTGCCCCAACACTTTTTTTTTGCTTTGATATCTAATATCACATTGATAGATATAATCCACATTAACCAAATCTCTTTGAGGTCCTCACCACTTTTTTCATGAGTGTAGAGTGGTCCTGAGAACAGAGTCTAAAGACTTGTGCTTCACACACCTGGCCTCAGCAGCCCCAACCTCCATGCCATCAGAGGACCTGCCATGCTTCAGTGCCAAGACCACAATGGTAGAGTCTATAGCCCTGAGTCTGGTCATGACTGACCATTTACTAAGAGGTGAGTCCTCCATGCCTTCATCCGTAAGGTGGAGAGAATAATAACTAGTTCTAGGGATGTTAGAAAGCTTGCATAAGTTGCCAGAGGTTAATGTGCATAGCCCAGGGTCCAGAATAAAGTAGACAAGAAATACATAGTAGCTCCCTTCTAGTTTCCCGGGTGCCTCGTATGCACCATACCATTACATCATATTGTCTTTAAATCCTTAATTTTTAGCCCAATAGATCACCGAGAACACCTGCTTATCTCTTTCCTAAATAATGTTCTTTCTAAATCTCTCCTCATGACAAAATCTTGTAACCAGAACCACAGCTTACATTTATATAGTGCTTGCTGTGTGCTAGGCACGGATCTACATATTTCATCTGTATTAATTCATTCAATCCTAACGACAAACTCAAGAGTTAGGAGCTATTACATATAGTTTGGTTTTACACAATAAAAAACTGAAGGACAGATAGCAAGCAACTAATATCATATAACCAGCAAGTGTTGGAGTCAGCACTAGAACTCAGGCTGTTTTCAGATTCTACGGGCTTCACTTCGGCTGATGGTGCTAAACATTTTATAAATGGCTCCTAAGGAACTCTGCACCGGACCCCACGGGTTCTGTGTGCAGCCAGTTAAAATATGACTAGTGGCAAATTGACTTCATCACATCGATATCTGCTTGGTTGAGAAATTGCAACAGCGTCTTCTCTCTCCTTGCTTTGGTATCTCCGTTGCAAAACAGGCCGACTTGTCAGCACTTAAGTAGGGTGGACCAACAAACCCAAGCTCCTTCTTCCGTGCAGTGGCTCTTTGGGACTGTTGCTGCTTAAACGCAATCAGATAATTGCCTCTGGAAGATAAACAAAAACAATTTAATATTTTCCTTCCAAATAATTGCACTGTAATCCATCAATCGGACTAAGGCCTCAGCATCAATGGCTACTTGACAGCCCATGTTAAACATCTTTAAGTTGCCAGGGTTGGACAGAATGGGACATTGATACTTTTGTTGATGTGGGCACATTTGCATCCACACATACTGGAGACTTTTTAAACATTTTAATAACATAATTACATAAATACATGACATACATTGTGTATGCACTCAAGCAGTAATTTCAAAACACGTTGTAATTTTTAGAACAGACGCTACATTGCTGCCAGAAGGATCTGAACAAGCCATTGTTTGGTGCCATGAGAATACTTCTCTTAATTTGTTTTTTTCCCCCTCACCTAGGTGTTAAACGACTGTCATTATTTTGTCATCTCCAGTGCCTAATCAAGTTAATTCGGAGCACCAAACATTTTTCTACAATAGGACATAACTTCTATTAGTTTTCCCAAGCTCAGTGGAAGGTTGAGACTCACAGAATATTAAAGCTGGAGGGGCCCTGAGGGACCACCTAGTTTCTCCCTCTGATTTTACAGGTGGGGAAATAACTCGGTATATGGTTCATGTGGGGTCCGTTGTTCAGACAGGGACGTAGAATGGGGGAAGGATGGTATTTCTATTTCTATTTCTTTTTCTAAATTTCCTTGCTAACTCTGGTGACCTAGTTTCTTCGGAGTTCTTTTTTTCTCTTTGATCTCTGTGCTTTTCTCTCCGTCTTGGTCACATGATGGGTCACATCTGTCTCCTTCACACGCCAAAAGTTCCACTCACCTGATGAAGTCACAGAGAGGAAACTTTCACTGGACGTAGGTAGGAGTAACAGCATGGGGGCACTGCATCTCCTGACCACATGGTAGATGAATTTAAATTGAACATTAGAGGGGCGCCTGGGTGGCGCAGTCGGTTAAGCGTCCGACTTCAGCCAGGTCACGATCTCGCGGTCCGTGAGTTCGAGCCCCACATCAGGCTCTGGGCTGATGGCTCAGAGCCTGGAGCCTGTTTCCGATTCTGTGTCTCCCTCTCTCTCTCTGCCCCTCCCCCGTTCATGCTCTGTCTCTCTCTGTCCCAAAAATAAATAAACGTTGAAAAAAAAATTAAAAAAAAAATAAATTGAACATTAGATCCTTCTTTTTGTAAAAGTCTCTGCTTCGTCTGGTGACATATGTTTTCTGCCACATTCTCTGGATCTCTTCTGCCCATCCCCCCATCTCTCCCCCTTCTCTTCTCTCCCAGCTCCATACTGCCTTTTGTGGGTCTCAGGTTTTTAATCTGTCTCTGTGTTGTTCCTGCTTTCTCTCAAGGCCTTATTTTCTGTTAGCTGTAGCTTTTCAGTGTGTTTTCCTAAACAAAAATGGTTCCTTCCCTAACCGGAACTCTGGTGTCAACAGCGAAACAATACTCTTCTTTTTACCCGTTATATCATAGCTGAGATATATGCCAGAGCATTTTGGACAACTGGGCAAAAATGCTTCATCCTATTATAGGAAAGGTCATGCATGGCACCATTTGCTGTGGGAAATGAAGGAGGCAAGTTGGGGGAGGAAGTCGGGTCAGGCCAGAAGAGCCACGTGGAGGTGAACGTAGAACAAGCAGCAGTCTGCAGGGCACGGAGGGGCCTGAAGTTCACAGTTCCTCTGGCGGTGGGAGGCGGTGATAGGCAGATGGATGTAGGGGCAGATAGCAAAGGGTCTTTCTTGTCATGGTGGGGTATTTAGATGGGGAACACCAGGCACCAGGATCTGCTCCCCTGGATCTTTAACTTCTCTACTAACATACTCTCCATCTGCCCTGCTGTGACCGTGGTCCAGCCTGCCATACCTTTTGCTTGGACTACTACTGTGCTTTGAGGTACAGAGACAAATAAGGACATGACACATGAGGCACACAGACTGTTAACTCAGGAGAGTTAGAGGAACAACGTGGAGGAGTAGATAGGAGATGAGGGGAAGACAAGCAGGGGCCTCGTCTCTTTCCAAAGCTGACTCTCCATCCACTCAACTCTCGAAGATCCCGGCAATCTATCTACCCAAATCTGCTTATTCAACCTCCAGGAGGAAGTGTTCTCACCATCCAAACCTTTCTACCCACTGTCTTCTGGAAAAAACAAAACAAAAACAAAAACATGAACAATTTATGATTCTAGCGGATTTCTAGTGTCGCATAAAAGTTTCTTATAAAAATGAATATCAGAGTAACAATATTTTATTGATAAAGATCAATGAAATTAGTAGAGACGCTCCACGTTTACAAGAACTGGTTGTAATAATGTTTAGTTATTCTAGGCCATCTGTGCACACACAGAGATAGCCTCATTATATGTAAACACATAATAATACTAGTTATTAAAATTTGATTCTCTTTGTAGTGTATTCAAACAAAATGAGAAGCAGAGAGGCTAAGGTACATATTCTTTTTTTTAAATTTTTAAATGTTTATTTATTTTTGAGAGAGAGAGAGAGGCAGAGCTTGAGTGGGGGGAGGGGCAGACAGAGAGGGAGACACAGAATCGGAAGCAGGCTCCAGGCTCTGAGTCATCAGCGCAGAGCCCGACGTAGGGCTCGAACCCACAAACAGTGAGATCGTGACCCAAGCTGAAGTGGGACACTTAACCGACTGAGCCTCCCAGGTGCCCCACTAAGGTACATTTTCTATGAATGTGGAATCAGGAAAATAATTAGATGTGAAAAGAACTGTAGAGTTAAAACATTTTTTTTCCCCTGGGATATTTATAGTTTTCATGAGGAAATCCAAGATGCCCTATAGGTTATCCTAGCTACTGACTAACCTTAATCACCCAGAGCTGGCAATGTTCGTATATGGAAGTTCAGAGTCATCGAAAGCAGCAGGCTGCCTTGGGGAGTGTTCTCTGTCACACCATGTCATGCTGTCGTGCTGACCACGATCTCTGTCAAAGTCCCTGACGTTGACGAAGCCCATAATAAATGGTAGCTTCCTGGGGCACCTGGGTGGCTCAGTTGGTTGAGCGGCCGACTTCGGCTCAGGTCATGATCTCGTGGTCCGTGAGTTCGAGCCCCGTGTCGGGCTCTGTGCTGACAGCTCAGAGCCTGGAGCCTGTTTCAGATTCTGTGTCTCCCTCTCTCTGACCCTCCTCCATTCATGCTCTGTCTCTCTCTGTCTCAAATAAATAAATAAATAAATAAAAATAAATAAATAAACATTAAAAAAAGTAAATGATAGCTTCCTTCCTTATTGGGTGAGGAAGGGGCTCCACCATCTCCACTGGAGTTTTACTTTCATAATTTATGTTTTGATTCTTTTTGAAGAAAAGAGAAAACAAGGCAACAGTTTATGGGTTTCTAGTATCTGCTAAACACTATGCACAATAGTTCTTCGTATGTGTATACACACATACGTATTTTTTTATATGCAGAACTGTCTTGTAACGTTGGTTTTACCATCTTCGTTTTACCGATGAGGCAAAAGTCTCAGCTATCGAATGGACACTGCAGACTGTAGACTAGATGAGCCAAAGAGCCAATATTTAGTTCAAGTTCTTGGTTCTCCAAAGCTCATCCTCTTCTTGACCTTTCTTATTCTCCTGCCATCAGCTTTTTCCCCATGGGACTTGGGAGCCGATTAAAGAAACTTAAAGCCTTTTCTCTGACATATATCGAAAAAAGATGTCCAACATTCTGCATCAGCTAAGTTTGGGTTTTACGGTTGAAGCACACTTACTATTCACCCACTAGCTTTTGAAATTCCTTTGAATACAGGTAGCCCTCACTGCAGATGCAAACTGAAACCACGCAAAGTGGTTTGAATAATCAATAGGAAAAATCATGCGTGTTCCTTGGCCTTTAAAATTTTATACTGAGACATTAAAAACTCCCTTATGTCTGTTGTAAAACATTAGAAGCACTGAGAATGAAAGTGTTTTCTTTGTAAAAAAAAAAAAAAACGTATCAAGAGTAGTTTGAAGCGTTCTCACTTTCTTCTGATTGTAGAACTTAGGACACGGAGCAAGCATCTTTTCTATACCTTGTTGAATTGTTGTACTCCTTTATAAACTTGGATCAGCTCTCGACGTTGTGTTTTCTGGGCCTTCAATGTCATGAAACACCTCTGAGAATTCCTTTCATGTGAAGGTTTTCTTTGCCAGCTTTGCTTCCTCTGGGACATCTTTATTTATTTATTTCTTTTATTGCAACCACTTTCTTCATTTATGTTGATGAGTTCACTTCCAATAAGTTCCTTCTGCTGCACATCCAGACTCTCTCAAAAGGAAGCAGACTCAACATTCTTGACACCTGCTATTGCTTCTATAGTTCTTTTATGTTTGATTTGCATTTTACTTACATGGTTATCAGTTTTCACTTTTCTTTTTCTTTACTTTCTTTCTTTCTTTTTTTTGGCCATCTTTGTTTCAATTTCCTCTTTATTTCCTAAAAAATGTTTATTTATTTATTTTGAGAGAGAGAGAGAGAGAGAGAATGAGAGCAGGGGAGGGGCGGAAAGAAAGAGAATCCCAAGCAGGCTCCATGCTGCCAGCACAGAGCCCAGCGCGGGGCGTAATCCTGAAAACCATGATACCATGACCTGAGCTGAAATCAAGAGTCGGACACTTAACTGACCGAGCCACTCAGTTTCCTCTTTAGATCACCCTCACTGGTAAAGGCAAACATAACGATCCATACAAAACTATAATGGGGACATTTAAACCACTTTTAACCCTAATACATAAGTTAAAAGATAAAAAAAAAATTAAGAACTACAACTACAGAAATTTGCCGGTGGATGTATAGCATAAAACATGTTAAGTATGGGGGATAAAGGGAAAGCATAGGGAATATGGTCAACAGTATTGTAACAGTGTTGCATGGTAACGGATGGCGGCTACATTTGTGGTACATGCCTGTTGAATCGCTCTGTTGTATGCCTGAGATGAATATGATATTATGTTTCAATTATACTTCAATTAAAAAAAAGATATAAGTATGACATCAATAACATAAAGGGTTAAAGGGGGAGGGGTAAACATGGGGAGACTTTGTATGCGATTGAAGTTCAGTTATCAGCTTAAAATAAACAGTTGTAACTATGAGATGTTTAATGAAAGCTTCATGGTAACTACAAAGAAAATACCAACTGTAGACACACAAAAGAAAAAGAGAAAGGAATCAAAGCATAAGACTACATTAAAAAAGAAATCAACAAATCACAAAGGAAGATGTCAGGAAAGGAAAAGAGGGAAGGACGAAAGAACCACACATCAGACAAAAAAATAACAGAAGGGTAATAGTGACTTTTTACCTAACAATAATTTCTTTGAACGTAAATGGATACAGCTCTCCAATTCAAAGATACAAAATAAAATCAGGAAGTGTGATGACTACAGCTTTGCTTTTCTTGTCCAAAATTGCTTTCTCTATCCAGGGTATTTTGTGATTCCACATGAATTTTAGGATTGTTTTTTCTCTTTCTTTGAAAAATGTTATAGGAATTTTCATAGGGATTGCATTCATTCTGTAGATAGGGGGAGGGGGGGTGGCATGGACATTTCAACATTATTCATTTTCCCAACCCATTAGTATAAGATATCTTTCCATTCATTTGTGTCTTCAATTTCTTTAATCAATGTTTTATGGTGCTCACTGTATCGATCTTCTCCCTCCCTGGTTAAATTTATTCCTAGGCATTTTAGTCTCGTTGATGCTACTGAAAATTATTTCAAATAATATTACAAAGCTACAGAAATAGAAAAGGTATGGTGCTGGCCTAAAAATAGACACAAGAGTAATGGAACATAATAGAAAACCCAGAAATAAATCCAACTGATCTTCGACAAAGGTGCCAAGAATACACAACGGAGCAGGATAGTGTCTTTAAGAAATGGTGCTGGAAAAGCTGCATATCTAAATGCAAAAGAATGAAATTGGGTCTTTAGTCTACACCATGCACAAAACTCAACTCAAAACGGATTGAAGACTTAAACCTAATATCCAAAAATGTGAAAATTTTAGGAGAAAATATAAGGGAAAAGCTCTTTAAATATTGGTTATGGCAATGATTTCTTATATATGGTGACAAAAAACACAAGCAACAAACACAAAAATGACAAAAAAAAAATCCAGCGGAAAAGCTTTGTATAGCAATGGAAACAATCAACATAATGAAACACCAACTTTTGGAATGAGAGAAAATACCCAGAAACCATATAAGTCATGATGGGTTATTATCCAAAACATATAAGGAACTCATACAAGTCAATAGCAAAAAAAAAAAAAAAAAAAAAAAAAAAAGTAACCCAGTTTAAAAATGGGTAAAGGATTGAACAGACATTTTTCCAAATAAGACAAATGATGGCCAGTGAAAAGATGCTCATTATCTAGGAAATGCAAATCAAAACTGCAATGAGATATCACCCCACACCAGTTAGGATGGTTATTATTAAAAAATATATATATATATATGGGGCGCCTGGGTGGCGCAGTCGGTTAAGCGTCCGACTTCAGCCAGGTCACGATCTCGCGGTCCGTGAGTTCGAGCCCCGCGTCAGGCTCTGGGTTGATGGCTCGGAGCCTGGAGCCTGTTTCCGATTCTGTGTCTCCCTCTCTTTCTGCCCCTCCCCCGTTCATGCTCTGTCTCTCTCTGTCCCCCAAAAAATAAATAAACGTTGAAAAATAAAAAAAAATACAAGTTTTGATAAGGACGTGGAGAAAAGGAAACCCTTATACACTCTTTTTGGGAACGTAAAATGGTTAAGCCACTATGGAAAACAACAAAATTAAAAACAATAAATTAAAAATGGAACTACCATATGATCTGACAGTCCCGCTCCTGAGTATACACCCCAAAGAATGTAAATCAGGGCCTCTAAGTGATATCTGAATAATATCTTCACTCCCATGCCATGACAGTAGTATCCACAATAGCCAAGTTATGGAAACAGCCCAAGCGATCATTGACAAACTAATACATAAGGAAAATGTGGAATATTAGTCAGCCTTAAAAATAAAGGAAATATGGGGTGCCTGGGTGGCTTAGTTGGTTAAGCATGTGACTTCGGTTTAGGTCATGATCTTGCAGTTTGTGAGTTCAAGCCCCGCGTCGGGCTCTGTGCTGACAGCTCGGAG